GTGTTTATGTACTTTCCCCTTCCTTGAATTTTCTGGAATTTTTCTTTCTAATATTATCAATATTGAAGTTGTTATCATTATCACTGAAATCCTAATCATTAATAGTATAAAATCAAATAATACATTTTATAAAATTAAGGAAAAGGGTAAACAGGTGAGGTAGGTCAGACAAGCGATTGACTCAATGATGACTAAGCAGTTGTGAAACCATATATGTATACATAATCAACAAATCAAATCCACTGTGAGCATGGCTTATCCATAATAGCCATTCCCAGCAGCACAGGGTTAAGAACAATAGGAAAATATTTACATTTTTGGCTACCACCCAAACTAATACAGTTGTAGCAGTATCAGGAGTCCAGTGTGGTATCTGCATAAATTGTGTGTTTCATCCCAAGACTATCCGTAAAGCATACATCTATCTAATGAGGTTCAACTTGTATAAATTCCATATAAAACCTAATATATATACCCTTTATGTACACTCTAGTACCCGATCCTAGCTTGAAACCTCCACCTATACTACTGTGATGTTTCATGATCTGCTAAGTCACTGACCACATAATAAGCTAAGACAATGAAACCCTACAACCTTTCGTGAGATCATTCGTATTTTCCCAAAAAAGTTATTAGAGACAGGATACGTATTATACAAATTCACGACAACCGAGCAGCTGTCATCCACCCCATGACACACAGATATGATGCCACTCATACTCGATGCCAAGAACCACGGTTTGTCTTAAACAACTGTAGTTAACCTTTAGATATTCTTAACAATCATTACATCTTTTTTTCTCTCTCCTCCTGAGTCTATTCTAAATAACTGCCAAACATAAAAGCCAACAGCACAGGGAGATATTCGAGTCTTTCACTAATAACCAATTGCATCTTCCTACTTTAATATTTGTCTAATATCCACTCAAGCTAAAAATCTGCCAATTCATCATTAACAATCAAAAGACAAGCAGAATCGATGCTATTAGCACAACACCTCCACCAAGCAATTTAGACGTTCACGCGTAAAACACCTGTTCCAGACAAAGGCAACAGGCACACCAAAGCAGCAGACGTTCAAAGATCAGAGGTAGAAGCAAAAAGATAGCTTTATCAGATTCACAGATTACAGGCAGAAGCAAAAAAAAGAGCTTTATCAGATTCACAGATTAGAGACAGAAGCAAAAAAAAGAGCTTTATCAGATTCACAGATTAGAGACAGAAGCAAAAAAAAGAGCTTTCTCAGAGGGCGAAGAGGGTTACTCTAATTGCCGACGGGCGCCGCCAGGAACCGACGGGCTGCCGACGGGCCATGAATTAATGACTCATTATAAGATATTTTCATATTTTAAGGCGGATCTCAGCATAGAGAGTCCGTGCTAGCCGCAGTTCCAGACCGTGTCTGTGGAGGACGCCGTCGTCATGCCAGAAGACTCCTCCAGGAATACAGGGTGGTTCTCCAGTCCCCTGCTGTATTAACTATTCTTCCCTAGAAACTAGTAGGCCTACCCCTACCAGATCTTTTTTTTAAAAAAGCAAACCTAAAAAATGTGATTTTGAGTTCACAGGTTCTTATCTTTAGAAGCATCCACAAATGGCAGTGACATGAAACTTTGTATTGAGGGTGGACAAGAGTTAACTCCAACAGAGTCGCAGTCAAAGAGGAGTAGTCTACCGGTACTCGAATCATGCAGAGAACCCTATGTACAGTTGACGCTACTAGGCTACAAATTAGCCCGTCGGTGCCCGTCCATGGCCCGTCGGCAATTAGAGATACCGGGGCGAGGACCATACAAGAGGGCAAAAGAGCCTTATCAGAGGGCAAAACAGCTTTCTCCGAGGGCAAAATAGCTTTCTCAGATTCACAGATTAGAGGCAGAAGCAAAAATAGAGCTTTATCAGAGGGCAAAAGAGCTTTCTCCGAGGGCGAAGACCATACAAGCTCTGTGACAAAACCGGCGCTTGTGTTTACAGATGTCAGACTCTTACGAAGACCGCCTGTCCAATGCCGAAATGGTTTCAAATGTTTTTTCTTCTTTGATTTTGGACTCAGATTCAAGAAAAGATAACAGTGAAGTAGTCATGTCGTGTGATTTGGATAATGTATGTATGCGATATATCAAAGTACTGGTTCGAGAACAGAAAAGTTTTTTGTTGCGGTAAAGGTATGGGTCAATCAATATATTTTTTTATCATTATGTTCAAACATCATTCTACAAATCATAACAGGTCATTTAAGTTGACAGGCTATGGTAAAAGCAAGTGTCACGACAGGCAGCGTAAAACTACAAGAGAGAACCGGAAGATTACGTCACCCAACCTACATATAATCCCTACCAAAGTAAACGAAAAAAAAATGTATCAATAAGGCACCAAAATCCATAAATAATTCTAGTGCAGTGTATTGGTTAAGTAACTAAGGCTACAGGAAGTACGATTGATTAGTTCCTACTGCAGGCACACTGGATGGCCGACTTTCATGCAGCCCCGGTACTTACCGCGTCGAGAAATGTCAGATATTTAAACCTTCCGCCCATCGCCCAAAATGCTGATTCATATTCCGAGCCCTGAGGAGGCTTTACGTCATAATACAGCCCATAGACATAGCCCGTGAAGATGGCACTGTGAAGTAAAGTCTGAAAAGTCTCCATCGCTGCAGTG